ATGGGAGCTTCCATCTTTAATCTTGAGACGCTTAAACGTACGCGCCATCTCGTGGCAACTTTCATAACGATCCCAACGAACATTCCTTTGAAAAGGTTCTTGATACCATCCTTGTGCCTTCCACTGTTTTGGCACGTATGTGAACACATATGGGACTAACAGGGTTTACCAGAATCCCACCACTTCACCACAGACTCACCGCAGTAGATGTTAGATGAGCGCTGTCGCTCCGCGGCACTTGTTATGCAATTATTTTGCCTTGCACAGCGTTTTCCTTTTTCATCTATGGCAAGTAGCAAAAGGGAATTGGCTGGAATTGCAGAATTGATTATCAGTTACACCGAACTTATCATTTAATTTAATCGTCATAGTGCATGTGTGATCACATTTTATCTAACTTAAAGCTAAATGAGCTAACTAATGTGTCCATTGTATTGTTTCCTACAATGTTCATTGTTCATGGTCATCTTATATTTATTTTTTTCAGAAATCTTAAAATTTCAATTTTATTTTTCTGTAGTTTTAAACTATAATTTCTCAGATAGGTACTGTGTTGGAGGCCTTTTATTTCTCTCATTCAGTGATGTTTGCAGTGATGAAAACATGAAACTGCTTAATTTATACGATTTTAACTGTGTTTTTCTATGGTTTGTTATTTATCATATTATACATATTTGTTTATATCTCTTATTCTAGTGAATTATTGTGCATGCCTGATGGTGGTGAAGTTTGTCTGGATTGGATGGATAATGACGAGAATTCTAATGTTGAAAGAGCCAAAAGACCAACTATCTTGATGCTTCCTGGTTTGACTGGTAAAGTAGTAAGGATTACACGTAGCATTAGTGTAAAAACTAACTTAGTACAAATCTGTCTTTAAAAGATTCTGGTACTCTTGGTTTTGCTCATTTGTATAGTCATTTAGGAATTATTTTGGGGCTGAATAAATACAGGCCATATAAAATTAGGTATTCGGAATACAATTATTAAAGCTTCTGCTTTTGCCTGTATGAAATGACAAATGTCTTTTGCTAGTATTCAGGAAATATATATAAATATGTGATATAGTGGGGATGTAAAATATTTGTGAGTATTAAAATAGGTAGCTATAGGGTATACAGGTTTTTAGTAATAATTTGATATAAAGTAGTTTAATAAGTTTGAGTTAAATTTAATCTTGACCTTTATTTCCTTGACTTACCTACATAATTACATTGTTATTTCTTTCTTCACAGGCTCGAGTGTTGAGACGTATCTTGTTCATTTTGTGAAGCATGCAACAAAAGCTGGTTTTCGCTGCGTTGTTTTCAACAACCGAGGAAAAGGAGGTGGAAGGCTATTGGTAATAAAATTGATCTCTCATCCTATTAATTCTAATAACAAGAAAATATATAATCAAAAATCATTTTAAAATTTCCATACCTGGTCACACAGTCAGGAAACGGCAGAACGTTTTAAATATTATTGTATTGATGGAAATGGTCTGCACATTATTATTCAAAATATGGAACTCACCTTTCTTAAAAAAAGACAAACAACATCTTGAGCTGTCAACTAATTTCTATGTTTCTAATGGGATCCATAAGTAAACAGCATACTAATTAATTATGCAATACCGTAAAATTATCTATTCTTCATTATATAACCCCGTGTTTATATGCTTGCAAGGCATCTTTGGCTTCTGACACTGTAGCATCCTTTTAAATAATGAATGAAAGAGGCATGTAGACAATGTATAACATGAAGGAGGCATGTGCACAAGTTATATACAGTCACACAATTTGTTAGCAGCCATATGCACCTCTGTAGAATGGCTACCTGTTCATAGCAGTCATTAAAAAACTACGCTGAAAGATGTTATTTGATCAGCACTGTACAGAGCACTCGCCTTACTGAGAGCAACAGCAACTATTTTTGTAACTTTGAAGCTCCACTTGTGCACAGTGGCCTTTTTCACATTGTTGCCTCTGTCTATCAAATATTCAGTGTACACTATAGTTTAAATAAATATAACTTGAGCCTTAATGTGCATTGTGTACATAGAATTGGTGTAGGAATATAGCATGATTGCAATTGTAAATTTAATATTTCTTTTACAAATGTAGACCGCTAGAACCTACAATGCAGCGAATACAGAAGATCTCAGTGTTGTGGTGGAGCATGTGAGGAAACTAATTCCAGATGCCCCGCTGATGGCTACTGGCCACTCATTGGGAGGGTAATATATTTCTGTATACTGCGTGAAAAAGAATGCGTGTAGAAATGTTGTTGTAGAGTCTCTGTCTTACCAAAAGGTTAGGATTTACTTACAAGTCTAGTTTGCGCTTGTTCTATGGTACAAACAGTGAGCTTGTGCTTTTGAATTGGCTCTAACGTATTATGTAGTGCTAGCAATTTTTAGAGAATATAAGCAATAGGAATACAGTTATACGGTTTTATCAGGAGTCTTATAATATAGACTCTAATTATAGACTATATCAGTATCACTATCTATCAATATTAAACATGAAGTTTTGGGTTATCGCAATATTAAACAATTGGGATAAAAAATAGTATTGGTAACTCTAGTCATTATCATTTCCTTGTTTAATGCTGTTCAACATGTTCAATAGTTTCACAGTTTTATTATTTTCTTTACTTCCAGAATAATTTTAACCAATTACTTGGCCAAGACTGGAGTGGACTGCGGACTTATAGGTGGCATGGTGGTTTCTGTTTCTTGGAATGTATTTGAGTCGTCAAAGAATCTTGAGAAACCTCTCAACAGCTTCGTCTTCAATCGCTTCCTGACATATAATCTGATTAAAATGGTCAAAGAGTACGTAACACATTATCATTATAATGGCTTATAATAAGAGATTATAAAGACTGGAATTAATAGTAAGCTTTAACACGAAGTTAACATGCACAGTTGCATTTTCACATTTGCAATCACTGCAGTATTTTGAAAACTGCCATTTAAAGGAATTTTTTCATGCTTTCAGGTATGCCCATTTGTTCCAACACAAGTTAGACGTGGAACATGTCTGCCAGGTAAGTTGATTCTTTCCATCAGCTGCAATAAAATGCTAATATGATGTTTTCTAAAACTACTAAATGTTTGCTAGCTTAGCTGTTCTCTCTCTCTCTCTCTCTCTCTCTCTCTCTCTCTCTCTCTCTCTATCT